GAGCACATGGTGTAGGTCCAAACGATAGCTGGGGATTCTGGGGTTAGTGTAGTGTCTTTCTTCTGCCATCCTTCTTACTCCAAAAACATATTTGTTTCTCCGAATCGAAGGGGAAACATACAAAAGCATTGCACACAATTTAAACCAATCAATGTTGTGTAATTAACAAGGATAATCTGGTGTTTTCTAGTCGATGAGTAGTGCAGATATCACTGTAAAACCAATCGACAGTAAGGGGAATACTTACTTCCGGGTGTACAATTCTCCGTTATCCAATGAGAATGGACGCTCACATTGCCTTTAAGGGCAGCCGACACAAACGAATGCCGTGCTTCCATGAGCGTCTATAGAAGCATACTGGACATCCCGGAGAGCTGGAAATGGACGCTAAGGCCCCCCCCCCCCCTTGCGTTGAAAATGGACGCTAAGGCCCCCCCCCCTTGCGTTGGAAAAAGCCGAAAGGGGACTTGACATAACGTCAACATAGGCCGACCTGGGAGTGAGGAAGTGTTGGATTTAGTTTGTGAATGAATGCTTATTAGAGTTTGGGCTGGAGAGTGCGTGCGGACCTGTCGGTTAGATAACAGGCGTGTCCTGCATCTGATACAAATGTGTGTAAAATTATACCGGGTGCTGTAATCACTCATCTGGTTACGTTATTACATTGACCACCACCCCCCCCCCGACCCAAAAGAAAGGACGTATTATTGGGTTCCCCTCATTTTTTCCCCACGCCACGCTACTGGTTGTAAGTGTGATTTCTGTAGGATTCCAATCGCTTTTTATAGTCAAAATCAGCAAATTGGCCGAGCTCCGCTACAAGTCTATAACTCCTACATGGGAGCGATGAGGAGTGAGGCAGGGACGAGCTCTGCCTCTCGTAAGCCCACAGTAACTGGCTGGAGCGCGGGCACTAATGTAGCGCGGGCACTTATTTTGTGAGCGCGCTCAAGCCAGTCAGTTACTGTGTGGTGAGGTGAGGCACAGATGAGCTCTGCCTCACCTCAGAATGCGTCACCCCACAGAAACTGGCTGGAAAGCGGACCCTAAGCGCATGCCTGCACCATCTCACTGTAGGTCACCAATGTAATGTTTGTAGATCCCTTTATTACATTTATCCTCGCCATCCATAGTCTCTAAATAACTTATTTCACATATATATGATATTTAGGCTCGCTGGTCTCACCATACAACGGCAATGAAAAAAGCACCAGGAGAGGCAGCCATAACCTCTGCCGCACTGAAGGGGGCTCACGTGAGCCCACAGGTTATTGTTGCTACTGTTATTCTACGCAGAGACGGTAGACGCAAACAACAAGCTAGACTTTTGAAACTAGAGGAAGATAAGGAGGACTTTTACAAAAATGTAATGGAGATTGTTGTCCAGAAGGATAGCATGGACTTCATCTTCAAGTCAAGGTAAGACCACAATTGTAATGAACATGGGATCTTACTAAGAAAGAACAATCCAATATTTAGATTGTGGGTATCCTTTTGTTGAACAGTCTGTTTAAAATGAATCGAAACATCAGACTAAAAAAGCTTTTGAAAATAACCGAACATTTCGATTAAGGTCAAAATATAATATTTGTAAATCTGACACTGAAAGAGTCAGTGCCTCACCAGCCATGAACCTCACCGCACGTCACTGCTAACACTTGAACCTGAACACACACATGCACGTGTGCAATATGTGATGTCATGTGTTTTGGGGCCATAACATTAAATTACAACAGGATTGTACGGTTATGAATGCATTATAAGTTAGTTATGATGTTGTTAAAACAATATTGGATGATAGTCATTTATTGTTTGGACTGAGATAAATCATGGGTCAAAATGTACCCGCGAACACCATGAATGGTAACAGCTTTCGAACACAACACAAGGGTTAAAGAAACAAGTCCTCATTGTCTTCACCACATAACCTCTTGGTAATCAAAATAAATCAATGGCTTCTGTTCAACAAGCGCTTCTGATTCAAGGCTCATTAGAATATATGTGATGTGCTACCGTCGTCATTTTTGGGCTATGAGAAGGGGGTCTTAGAGAGACAGGTGCTGAAACACAGCGTTTTAGACAGATTGTAAACACAGACGTTCAAATAGATGATATGAGAAGAGAGATGTGTTTTTTTTAAATAGTGAAGCATGAAACCCTGTTTTATTAGAATCCCAAAATACACATTTATACCTGAAATTAGCTTTAAAATGCCCCCTTTAAAGGAGCATATGTTTTAACGGTGACATTTTACAGGCTATGACTGGGATAACTGGGACTGTATACAACATGGACATCCCATAGTGTCCCCAATAGTTTCTAAAGCGATGCCTTCCAGCTTGGATCTGGCTTTGCTGCTTATTGGGACAGAAAATCTGATTCAAACAGAGAGCATAGTTTAGACTCTCAGTGCAGCCAACATGTGAAACAAGATGTGACCACGCAACATCAGAGGCTTCACACAGCAGCTCGTCACCTATGGAACATCTAGTGTTTGACATCCAGTGGCTTCACTCTGCTGCAGTGAGACTGGTGGGGTCCAGGGCAGCTCCGTGAGGCGTCCATCATCGTTCAAAGAAAATCACATCCATAAATGCAATAAGACCACCAACCAAAAATAAATCAGTGTCTCCAATCAGTGTCTCCAAATTAACATAATTTAAGGCCCCATTATTAAACTCTTTTTCAACAATAATAATATAAGATGGGCGGGTGTTACCTTGGTTGGTTATTGGCTAATGGTTGCACTCATGCAATCCTACTTTTACCTTTGATACATTAACTTCATTCATCGATTTCTATACTTAACATTTTGAATTCAGGACTTTCGCTTGTATCGGAGTGTATTCGGACCAAAGTATATCTACTTTTACTTTAGTAAAGGATCTAATTAGTTCTTTACATGTACTGTTTGATAAACTACAGGAAGAACTGAACCAATCTGCACAATGATTACTTTGGCTTTTGGTAATTTAACTATATTTTGATGATGCTTTTGTACTTTTACTTGAGTAACATTTTGAATGCAGGACTTTTACTGTAACAGAGTATTCCTACACTCTGGTACTTCTACTGTTACTAGAGTACAAGACCTGAGTACTTCTTCTTTTACTCGAGTACAAGATCTGAGTACTTCTACTTTTACTGAAGTACAAGATCTGAGTACTTCTACTTTTACCGAAGTACAAGATCTGAGTACTTCTACTTTTACTCAAGTACAAGACCTGAGTACTTCTACTTTTACTCAAGTACAAGACCTGAGTACTTCTACTTTTACTCAAGTACAAGATCCGAGTACTTCTACTCAAGTACAAGATCTGAATACTTCTACATTTACTCAAGTACTTCTACTTTTACTCAAGTACAAGACCTGAGTACTTCTACTTTTACTCAAGTACAAGATCTGAGTACTTCTACTTTTACTCAAGTACTTCTACTTTTACTCAAGTACAATACCTGAGTACTTCTACTTTTACTCAAGTACAAGATCTGAGTACTTCTACTTTTACTCAAGTACCAGATCTGAGTACTTCTACTTTTACTCAAGTACAAGACCTGAGTACTTCTACTTTTACTCAAGTACAAGACCTGAGTACTTCTACTTTTACTCAAGTACAAGATCTGAGTACTTATACTTATACTCAAGTACAAGATCTGAGTACTTATACTTATACTCAAGTACAAGATCTGAGTACTTCTACTTTTACTCAAGTACCAGATCTGAGTACTTCTACTTTTACTCAAGTGCAATATCTGAGTACTTCTACTTTTACTCAAGTGCAATATCTGAGTACTTCTACTTAAGAAGATCTGAGTACTTCTACTTTTACTCAAGTACCAGATCTGAGTACTTCTACTTTTACTCAAGTGCAATATCTGAGTACTTCTACTTTTACTCAAGTACAAGATCCGAGTACTTCTACTCAAGTACAAGATCTGAATACTTCTACATTTACTCAAGTACAAGATCTGAGTACTTCAACTTTTACTCAAGATCTGAGTACTTCTCCCCCCTCTGGTAGTATGTCAGTCAGAGATGTTTGACCTGTAGTCTAAAGACTACCAGAACAAACCACTAGAGGGCGCCACAGACGCAAAATAAACTCAAGATGATGCTGAGTTTGAGCAGATGGAGTATTTAGTTTCAAACATATTGTAACCTCTCTTCAATATCCAGTAACACAAAAGGAGACTTCAAATTCAGTTCTGATTTCATTTGATTGATTTATTGCAATAAAGATGTACAAAGTATTGTTAATCATAAATGTTAAAATGTTAGAAAAAGCATATCTGTGGCCGTCAACAGTACAGTGTATAAAACATTACTGCGTCAGGTCGGTTCCTTCCTGGAGAACAGCTTCGATCTGCTTTTGAGCGGATGTCTTTTCTTTAAAAAGCATCCCAAAAGATAGAAATACACAGACTCAAAAAGAGAGAAAACAAGACACAATTTGCTGAAATCAAAAAAGGCAACAAAACAATAAGAGAGAGAAAAAAAAATCAACATGCAAATTAACTTACAACCAAAACCCAAAAGAAAAAAAACTACATCTGTGGAGAAAAGCCTGAACTAAAATAAATATCTTTCTCCACATTTAAATTCGACATAATTACTTCACTCCCTTAATGTACGCCAATAGACTAAGAAGTGTATTTACAGGTTAGTTATTCTGCAGCGTGGACAGGGGGTGGGGGGAACAGAGGAGGAAGAGGGGACTTTGGCAAATCCATTCAATGTTAGGAAATCATGACGTCAAACAGGAATGAAGAACACTATAATTCAGCTGTAAAATGTCGAGGAAGTCTTATTTTAAGACCCCCTCCAGGTCAGACTAATACATTTATATATGTGTGTGTATATAGGCATATATATTATTTAATATACAAATATAGAGTAACCCGTGTTCTTGTTTGTAACATCGTTGTCCTGTAACAGTAAGGAGGGAGGCTTCGCAGCAGGACTGGAATGAATGGATCTTATACTAGATTTTTGTTATAGTGCACAACAGCGCCCCCTAGTGCCAGAATATGTTACTAGCTCACAGTGTTAGTTTGCTGACTATATCGGAACTAAAGTGGGAAAAGTACTGCGGTGTGAAAGTGCCTAATAAGTACAGGAAGTGCTGTACACTCATTGCTAATTGTTGAAGCACATTGACAGTGAAACGGTTTAACAGGAAGTGAGTGTAAAGTTGGTTGTGTTTCATAAAGTAGACTAAATCAAAGCAGCAGAGGTAGAAATATCTTGACTTGTAGTCCCTAGTTTAGGTCAAGTATACCTTTCATGTCCTTTTCACAGCCTCAACACAAACGGCACATACACCTGCAACTAAAAAGGGTCAAAGGTTAATTCTGTCTAATTCTCTTCATGTTAATTATGCATTATGGCTCCAACACGAAGACCTATGCTAATGCTAACAGTGTGCTAGGAAGACATGTTGGCTTTAGGAGGGGCTGTAGCACGCTATGAGTGAGCAGAGAACTGCAAAGGTGTACAGTTTATCTCCCAGCATGCTTTTAATGAGCATGGGTGTATATAGTTAGTGTGTCTGTACTGATGCATGAATCACATCACATGCATATCATATCAGAGTCCTGGCTGGGAGCAGAGTGGCGGTGCAGCTGAATGCTAACGGCACACTGAAGCTGACACACACACACTTCATCTACATGATGAAAACAAGAGGAGACTAGAGCTAGCGGTAGTGTTCATGTTATACAGTAAAGTCAACTAACCTAAGCATGTTTCAAGTTGCATTCAGAAGGTACATGACATTAACGAGCTAACGGTTAAAACGGCCCGTTTCCGCGAGACACGCAGAGAAAATGTACTTTTTAAATAAAGAGAGAACCCTGTTTCCTTTCATTTGTTGTGTGGCAGTTGCTCAGGATAAAGCTTTTCTTCTGTGTTTGAATCTATTCTCACTTCCCGGCTAACAGCTGGGGAACTCTGGGTAAAACACATTTTGTGATGAACTGCAGTTAGCAACACATGATTCTGCTTATACTGTGGCCCCTCGGGTTATCCGCCTTTTTAAAAGACTCAGGATAATGTACTTGTTGGTACCACTAAAGTGTTCAAACACACATGCAAATTAAGTGTTTGTTTCAATAGTCCATGTTTCATCTCCTGCACAGCCAATCATTATAGTTATAGTTATAGTTAGCAATCCATTTCAAAACGTACCAATAACTCCCTTTTCCATGAATTTGATCTCTGGGATTATTTGTTTACCTCATGTTGAGACATTTGAATTCACTCTTGATGTGTCTTTGCTTTCATTTGGTCGGCGCGGGGATCAACATGCAACCACTTAAGAGTTTCCACAACTTCACATTCAGCTTCTTAAAAAAACGTCACCACTCACGAGTAAGAGTTTGTTCAGTAAGAGCAAGAACCAGTTTAAAACGTGGGCGTACAGAGCGGCGTGGTTATGGGAGAAGAACCCCCGCCCTCTGGCCAAGTCAATATTCTGTGAGTGTGACAGAACAGAGTTGTGCTGTGGCTTTTTGTTTGGAGACATGGTGCCCTTAAACAGTGACCGTAATATATAAACGGAGGCGAGCAGATGCGTTCACATGGACATTTATTACAAGTCTGCAACACAAGCTCATATGCATAGAGGTATATGTTCACTCCGCCTCGAAACATTCACACGTCACATCCTCTCTGCCCAGCTAGGCTAGGTAGGAATGTCCTCACACACACAGACACACACATACAGGCGTGAGTGCTACTGTGGCACTAAGTGGACCTACAGTAAGTAACAGACTAATGCAAGGGGACTAAATAAAATGCATATACAGGTAAGAACAGAATTGTGCTGAAACACTCTCATAACACGTAACCAATGGATCTCCGTCTGCATTCTCCCACAAACCGTCCAGCCAGTATGGCTTATAAACAGGAATCATGACAATCGTTGGCGTTAAGGCAAAGATTAGCTTGCTGGGTAAATCGTTTCCAGGGGGAAGAACCGTCCACGCGGACACAGAGTCGCTCGGCAGCTACATGGCGATGGAGAACATGGCTCACATCTTTTCTGACCTTACATTTCAACTGTGTCGAGAAGCTGCTGTGAGTATCCAACAGCTTTCAAAGAAAAGAAGGAAGACTTGGAAGTGAAAACTAAATAAAAACACCATGGCCCCGAAATAAAGTATTGATTAAGGTTAAAAGTCTGAAATCAAGTGGACACCCTTCATTAAACCCAATCCACTCGCATAACCACAATGCTCCTACTAAGAAGGAAACACATTTAAAACTAAATAAAACAATCTATTTATGCACTAATATAATAAGTAATATTGTCAATCTGAATAATTGTTCCGTCTGATTCAACTGGAAGGCACATCCATAAGGCTTTAGAAGGTGTTGCAAAGCTTGGTTCTTCCCGGATATTTAAAGATAACAACAACAGGGGGATTATTGCTGCGTCACAAGCTAATAAACAGCTGGTTCCAATTATTAACAACAATTATGACATCGTCATGAGAACAGAACAGCGCCTGAGAGAGAAACCAACTTTGACATGAGGAAATGAAAAAAGAAAAAACTTGAGACATCTTGGAATAAATAAAATAGAGAGAGAGAGAGGAACAGAGTGGGGCAAGTTTACAACTACCATCCCTAACCCAAAATCACTGACATTCCTCCATCATCATCATCATCATCATATTACCAGCTGTGTGTCCGCAGTGTTTCTGGAGTGGCTGTGCGTCGCCGTGAGGTCGTTGGCTCTGGATCTGGGATGTGTGTGTGGGTCTGATCCCAGAGGCAGAAGTTGGATGTGAGACTTAATTTTCTTGGATTTTCGTTTTCCGTGTGTGTGTGTGTGTGTGTGTGTGTGTGTGTGTGTGTGTGTGTGTGTGTGTGTGTGTGTGTGTGTTTAAGAGTAGAAGGTGAGGACGCTCTGGTGGTTTCCGCGCACCAGCAGGATGGGAGGCAGATCTTTGGACAGAACCTCCAGCCAGGCCATGTACAGAGCGGAGGAAACGGCGCCTTTCCTGGCCAATGGCATGCTCCTAAACACAGAGAGAGAGAGGGGTGGGGGGGGGAGACGTAGAGGAACATCGTTAGTGGGCTTCATCGATACTGTAACTTCAGAACAGACACTTAGAAAACGTAAGAAAGGAAGAATAAGCTATTACGTTTGTTCATCTTAAAGGTCCCCTATCATACTGTTCTTCATCAATATATCACAGGTCTCAGATATATCCAGAGCCTGTGTCTGATTGGCTGAAACACCAAACAGATCATTGCAGCATTACCCATAATCCCCTCTGTTTCAGCCCTGTTTCCAAAGTGCTGCTTCTCTGTCTGTTACTTTAGATGAAAATAAGGAGCCCCTCCCCACGCCCCTCTGAGAGACATTTGGTTACAAAGAACTGAATGGTGCTCAGAGAGGACACATGTTGATGTAGAAGAGACATGAAGAAGAGGGGACACATGTTGATGTAGAAGAGACATGAAGAAGAGGGACACATGTTGATGTAGAAGAGACATGAAGAAGAGGGGACACATGTTGATGTAGAAGAGACAGAAGAAGAGGGACCACATGTTGATGTAGAAGAGACATGAGAAGAGGGGACACATGTTGATGTAGAAGAGACATGGAGAAGAGGGGACACATGTTGATGTAGAAGAGACATGGAGAAGAGGGGACACATGTTGATGTAGAAGAGACATGAAGAAGAGGGGACACATGTTGATGTAGAAGAGACATGAAGAAGAGGGGACACATGTTGATGAAGAAGAGACATGAAGAAGAGGGGACACATGTTGATGTAGAAGAGACATGAAGAAGAGGGGGACACATGTTGATGTGGAAGAGACATGAAGAAGAGGGGACACATGTTGATGTAGAAGAGACATGAAGAAGAGGGGACACATGTTGATGTGGAAGAGACATGAAGAAGAGGGGACACATGTTGATGTAGAAGAGACATGAGAAGAGGGGACACATGTTGATGTAGAAGAGACATGGAGAAGAGGGGACACATGTTGATGTAGAAGAGACATGAAGAAGAGGGGACACATGTTGATGTAGAAGAGACATGAAGAAGAGGGGACACCTGTTGATGTAGCAAGAGACATGAAGAAGAGGGGACACATGTTGATGTAGAAGAGACATGGAGAAGAGGGGACACATGTTGATGTAGAAGAGACATGGAGAAGAGGGGACACATGTTGATGTAGAGTAGAAGAGACATGGAAGAAGAGGGGACACATGTGATGTAGAAGAGACATGGAGAAGAGGGGACACATGTTTGATGAAGAAGAGACACGAAGAAGAGGGGACACATGTTGATGTAGAAGAGACATGAGAAGAGGGGACACATGTTGATGTGGAAGAGACATGAAGAAGAGGGGACACATGTTGATGTAGAAGAGACATGAAGAAGAGGGGACACATGTTGATGTGGAAGAGACATGAAGAAGAGGGGACACATGTTGATGTATGTGGAAGAGACATGAAGAAGAGGGGACACATGTTGATGTAGAAGAGGACATGAAGAAGAGGGGACACATGTTGATGTAGAAGAGACATGGAAGAAGAGGGGACACATGTTGATGTAGAAGAGACATGAAGAAGAGGGGACACATGTTGACGTAGAAGGAGACATGAAGAAGAGGGGACACATGTTGATGTGGAAGAAGAACATGAAGAAGAGGGGACACATGTGATGTGGAAGAGACATGAAGAAGAGGGGGGGGACACATGTTGATGTAGAGGAGACATGGAGAAGAGGGGACACATGTTGTATGTAGAAGAGACATGAAGAAGAGGGGACACATGTTGATGTAGAAGAGACATGAAGAAGAGGGGACACATGTTGATGTAGCAGAGACATGAAGAAGAGGGGACACATGTTTGAATGTAGAAGAGACTGGAGAAGAAGGGGGACACATGTTGATGTAGAAGAGACATGGAGAAGAGAGGGGACACATGTTGATGTAGAAGAGACATGAGAAGAGGGGACACATGTTGATGTAGAAGAGACATGAAGAAGAGGGGACCATGTTGATGTAGAAGAGACATGAAGAAGAGGGGACCACATGTTGATGTAGAAGAGACATGAAGAGAGGGGACCACATGTTGATGTAGAAGAGACATGAAGAAGAGGGGACACATGTTGATGTAGAAGAGACCTGACTAAGAGGGGACACATGTTTGATGTAGAAGAGACATGAAGAAGAGGGGAACATGTTGATGTAGAAGAGACATGGAGAAGAGGGGACACATGTTGATGTAGAAGATACATGGAAAGAAGAGGACACATGTTGAGTAGAAGAGACATGGAGAAGAGGGGACACATGTTGATGTAGAAGAGACATGAAGAAGAGGGGGACACATGTTGATGTAGAAAGAGACATGAAGAAGAGGGGACACATGTTGATTGAAGAGAGAACTGAAGAAGAGGGGACACATGTTGAGGTAGAAGAGACATGAAGAAGAGGGGACACATTGTTGATGTGGAAGAGACATGAAGTAAGAAGAGGGGGACACATGTTGATGTAGAAGAGACATGAAGAAGAGGGGACACATGTTGATGGTAGAAGAGACATGAAGAAGAGGGGACACATGTTGATGTAGAAGAGACATGGAGAAGAGGGGACACATGTTGATGTAGAAGAGACATGAAGAAGAGGGGACACATGTTGATGTAGAAGAAGACATGAGAAGAGGGGGACACATGTTGATGTAGCAGAGACATGAAGAAGAGGGGACACATGTTGATGTAGAAGAGACATGGAGACGAGGGGACACATGTTGATGTAGAAGAGACATGGAGAAGAGGGGACACATGTTGATGTAGAAGAGACATGGAGAAGAGGGGACACATGTTGATGTAGAAGAGACATGGAGAAGAGGGGACACATGTTGATGAAGAAGAGACATGAAGAAGAGGGGACACATGTTGATGTAGAAGAGACATGGAGAAGAGGGGACACATGTTGATGTGGAAGAGACATGAAAGAAGAGGGGACACATGTGATGTAGAAGAGACATGAAGAAGAGGGGACACATGTTGATGTGGAAGAGACATGAAGAAGAGGGGACACATGTTGATGTAGAAGAGACATGAAGAAGAGGGGACACATGTTGATGTGGAAGAGACATGAAGAAGAGGGGACACATGTTGATGTAGAAGAGACATGAAGAAGAGGGGACACATGTTGATGTAGAAGAGACATGGAGAAGAGGGGACACATGTTGATGTGGAAGAGACATGAAGAAGAGGGGACACATGTTGACGTAGAAGAGACATGAAGAAGAGGGGACACATGTTGATGTGGAAGAAACATGAAGAAGAGGGGACACATGTTGATGTGGAAGAGACATGAAGAAGAGGGGACACATGTTGATGTAGAAGAGACATGGAGAAGAGGGGACACATGTTGATGTGGAAGAGACATGAAGAAGAGGGGACACATGTTGATGTGGAAGAGACATGAAGAAGAGGGGACACATGTTGATGTAGAAGAGACATGGAGAAGAGGGGACACATGTTGATGTGGAAGAAACATGAAGAAGAGGGGACACATGTTGATGTAGAAGAAACATGAAGAAGAGGGGACACATGTTGATGTGGAAGAGACATGAAGAAGAGGGGACACATGTTGATGTAGAAGAGACATGAAGAAGAGGGGACACATGTTGATGTGGAAGAGACATGAAGAAGAGGGGACACATGTTGATGTAGAAGAGACATGGAGAAGAGGGGACACATGTTGATGTAGAAGAGACATGGAGAAGAGGGGACACATGTTGATGTGGAAGAAACATTGAAGAAGAGGGGACACATGTTGATGTAGAAGAAACATGAAGAAGAGGGGACACATGTTGATGTGGAAGAGACATGAAGAAGAGGGGACACATGTTGATGTAGAAGAGACATTGAAGATAGAGGGGACACATGTTGATGTGGAAGAGACATGAAGAAGAGGGGACACATGTTGATGTAGAAGAGACATGAAGAAGAGGGGACACATGTTGATGTGGAAGAGACATGAAGAAGAGGGGACACATGTTGATGTGGAAGAGACATGAAGAAGAGGGGACACATGTTGATGTAGAAGAGACATGGAGAAGAGGGGGACACATGTTGATGTATGGAGAGAGGGACACATTGAAGAAGAGGGGACACATGTTGATGTAGAAGAGACATGAGGAAGAGGAGACACATGTTGATGTGGAAGAAACATGAAGAAGAGGGGACACATGTTGATGTGGAAGAGACATGAAGAAGAGGGGACACATGTTGATGTAGAAGAGACATGGAGAAAGAGGGGACACATGTTGATGAGTAGAAAACATGAAGAAGAGGGGACACATGTTGATGTGGAAGAGACATGAAGAAGAGGGGGACACATGTTGATGTGGAAGAGACATGAAGAAGAGGGGACACATGTTGATGTAGAAGAGACATGAAGAAGAGGGGGACACATGTTGATGAAGAAGAGACATGAAGAAGAGGGGACACATGTTGATGTAGAAGAGACATGAAGAAGAGGGGACACATGTTGATGTGGAAGAGACATGAAGAAGAGGGGACACATGTTGATGTAGAAGAGACATGAAGAAGAGGGGACACATGTTGATGTGGAAGAGACATGAAGAAGAGGGGACACATGTTGATGTAGAAGAGACATGAAGAAGAGGGGACACATGTTGATGTAGAAGAGACATGGAGAAGAGGGGGACACATGTTGATTGTAGAAGAGACATGAAGAAGAGGGGACACATGTTGATGTAGAAGAGACATGAAGAAGAGGGGACACATGTTGATGTAGCAGAGACATGAAGAAGAGGGGACACATGTTGATGTAGAAGAGACATGGAGAAGAGGGGACACATGTTGATGTAGAAGAGACATGGAGAAGAGGGGACACATGTTGATGTAGAAGAGACATGGAGAAGAGGGGACACATGTTGATGTAGAAGAGAAGAGACATGGAGAAGAGGAGAGGGGACACATGTTGATGTAAGAAGAGACATGAAGAAGAGGGGACTAACATG